GATATAGGAGAGTTTTTATTACACGAGTTTAAGTGGTGAAGGTGATTGTAATTGGACGAGGCGGTTGCATGGGAATTAACGGTCGAGGGTGGGCTTTGGACCAAGTATAGTGCCGCGTAGGGGTAAGATCGGAATAACGATTCTACTTCTTCCTCGTCGGAAGATTTCGCCATTGCCACCGCTACTATGTGTGTGAGAAAAAAATGGCAAATGGTCACATGGGGTTTTTAAACCCACAAAATAAAGAGAGGTGTATATAATAATACTTTGGGATTGCTTCAAATAATGCATTGTGGGTGACATAATTGTTAGATACTATATGATTGGATTTTATGGAAGACTTAATTTATAAGACTTATTTTAAGTAATTTTTCACTCTTTTGAGGTAAGTTTGTTATTTTTGATTTCTACGAGCGTTCTATTCTACTTGAATTTTCGGTTGCTTATTTGAGCATCAAAGGGTAATCGTCGAGCAACTCGCGCCGAATCACTTAATGTCTGCATTATTTTGTAGGTTGACGCGTGAATTCTTATTTGGCGTATGGATTTTTTTTTGAACGTATTATTACCTCAGACACGCGGCATTAAGTTTCAGACTTGTTTTCGAACATCATCGGATGACTTGGACATGATTAACTAATTAATTAACACTAATTAATTATCATTCTAGTTTTTCATTGTTCATAGTAGATATCATTTTTTTTTTAGTTTCATATTTTAATTTATAGCATCTAAATTTGTGAGTTTATCATTTTTCACCAATTATTTATTTCCACAATAAATCTAAACTAATGAAAAACAAAAAGAAAGAAAATTTGAAAATTAATATAGATAGAAGATATACTTATTACAATCATTTTTTCTTGTTTTGGTTTAGTCGCTTCTCAAAAAATAAATAAAATAAAATAAAATAAAATAAAATAAATAAAAAGAATAAATAAAGGAGAAAAACAATGAGAGCTAATCCGAGAAATACGGGAGAGACATCAATTGAATCAACTTAGTTTATTGCCTTTTCTCTTTACACCGATTTTTGCTCCTTTTGATGATCAATGGAATCATAACAAAGTAAGCACGCTTTTGGTTTAATACTAATAACAACTCTACATCTTAATTATTACTCCATTTATTTCTAATTAATTGTCGTTTTTAGACTTTGCAGAAGTATTAAAAATCTCAGTAAATGTGTCTTGATTTTAGAAAAAAACACATTAAAAGATTAAAATAAATTTGATCATTTAATAATGTGATAAGAGAGAATTAATACTTAGAGTTGAATTAACAAGGTTAAAACATGAAGAAAAAAATGCATTTAATTCAGTATTTGAAAATGTAAAGTAACGAATAATATTAAACAAAAATATTTTTAAAAATAAACAGTTATTATAAAATAGATGGACTGATGGAGTAGTCCCTAACAACCAAACGAGGACTTATATTATAAATAATAAAGAAATTGCGATTGAAAAGTATTTCATTTGAACTAGCTATTATACTAATTAAAAAAAAAAATCATATAATGACTCTAATAATGGGTTGGGAAATTTCGTGTAATTTAAGAAAGATGGTGGTGAATTGGAATATAAGATTGGCCAATATATGCGTAGTAATAATAGATGGTAATGATGGAAGTGAGTGGTGTGGACTTAGTAGAAACATGATCTAAATAATTAAGAAGCAAGCTTTAGCTTTTTTGTAACTAGACATAATGAATACCACCAACATTTTCGTCAAATTATACTATTATTAAGTGAAATATATACTTGCTTCTCTCTATTTTGTTCCATAAATTCTCTTTACTTTTTGTTTCTTTACTTGTTTTATAATACATTATCAGCACCGAGTTTGCTCAAATTTATGTTATAACTAATAGAGAAAAAGTTGATATACATACGAATATTTCATCCATGGAGATTAGCTTTCACGATGATACAAAAGAGGTGGACACTTCAGCTCTTGATGACGAAGAGAGAGATGATACATTCTAATTTATTGTTGTTTTGAGTTGACGAAAAAATAAAATTCTTATTTTTGTTGTAGGTGAATTGTCATGCGTTCACGAGTTCTGGCTTTGAGTCTACTTTCGGATATGATGTTCGAATCTGAGAAAGCGTAGAGCACGAAAGTGTGAGAACTTTATGTTGGTTGTCCGAAACATAATCAATCGCTGGAATCCGATGTCGAACGAGTGATTCGACAGATTTGGATTCATTTAGATATCCACCCATGTGGTACTTCATGTTAGAAATAATCTGAATATGCTCGAATAAATCCCAAGACCATCATGCACAGTACATGAATCCATAGAACCATTCGAATATTCGGAAGTTCAAAGAGGGTTGATTTTCCAAAGAAAACACGTTCCTTGTCTTCTATCTCAGACGATATATGGATTACCGGGAGAAGGGAATGAATCCTAACTGAACTCTAAGTGTCTCTACACATTGGGCCAACATTATTAATCCAATACCCATTAATCTAATTCAAATAACTGTAATTAATTACGTTTAATTAGATTATCTGTTTAATTAGATTATCTGATAGATAAACATACACATTTAATTTAATTACGATAGGACGTGGACGTACAGATTCTTTGTTAGTTCTGACTGTTCTTTTGAGAAACAAATTCAAATTAATTTAACGAACTGATTAATGATAACTTTTGAGAGGAGATTGACTTCAAAATACCAGGAGAGAAATATAATATGATTCGTAAACGCTAACATCATAGTCGCTTTGGCCGAGTGGTTAAGGCGTGTGCCTGCTAAGTACATGGGGTTTCCCCGCGAGAGTTCGAATCTCTCAGGCGACGTAATATATTTTGTATCTATATTTTTAAAAATGATAATGAATAAAGCGATCATTTTGGGGATAATTACACTTTTGGTCCCTCATGTTTGGCCCGATTTCACTTTTGGTCCCCCTTGTTCTAAAGTGAACAAAGTTCACCTCCAAGTTTCAATTTTAAACACTTTTGGTCCCTGCCGTTAAATTTCCGTTAGCAAGTAACGGAAAACACTATTTTGGGGTGAAAATTGAAATTTAAATTTTTTGGGTCTGAAAAATAATTACAAATTAATAATAATAATAAAAAAAAGAAACTAACCAAACAAATTATTTTTTTATTATACTTAATATTATTATAATTATAATATTTATAATTAAATTTTTAATAATAAAAAAAATTAACTAAACTAATTATTTTTAATCATACTTAATATTACTTTTAATTATACTACTTATGATAAAAACAAATTAATAACAAAAAAATTAATTAACTAAACAAATTATTTTTTTTATTATACTTAGTATTATTATAATTATACTACTTATAATTAAATTTTTAGTGATAATTTTTTTTTCCACTATGATAAAACGTTTTGGGGCCTCGTTGGTAATAAAAAAAAACCGAAGCGATCCTATCGATTCTTTTGTTTTTAATAATAAAAAAGAAATTTATTAAATAAATGATTGTGAATTATACTTAATATAGTTTTAATTATACTACTTATGATTATTTTTTTAATAATAAAAAAAAGTAATTAAATAAATTTCATTATACTTAATATTATTAAAAATTTAATTATAAGTAGTCTACTTTAAATTTATAATTATTTTCAGCCCCAAAAAAATTTAAAATTTCAATTTTCACCCCAAAATAGTGTTTTCCGTTACTTGCTAACGAAAATTGAACGGCAGGGACCAAAAGTGTTTAAAATTGAAACTTGAAGGTGAACTTTGTTCACTTTAGAACAAGGGGGACCAAAAGTGAAATCGGGCCAAACATGAGGGACCAAAAGTGTAATTATTCCGATCATTTTGTGTAACTGTGCTGCGGCAGTGGGAGATCTTCAATAGTTTTTTGGATTGAAATAAGTGTTGAAAAATATATAGGGATAGGTCCACCCCTAAAATTCTTCCTTTGAGATACCTCTTGGAGAGGCAAAAGTACTATTGTGCCTCTAATTGAAAATTTCGGCCAACTGCATTCAGTATTTTTGCCCCTGCATTCAGCATAATGCCCAACTGCATTTAGCATTTTTGGGCCTGCATTTATCATTTTTATATATTAATTTAATAAAAAAATATAAATGTTTATTTCATTATTATTTTTTATATATACCCTCATTTGTATTTTTTACTATTTTTATTTTATATATATTTTTGTAATTTTTTTTTTGATAAATTTACTGTATTGAACTTGACTACACATGACTTTAGTATACTACACGTAACTATAGTATACCACAGTCATGTATATGTATATGTATTCCTGTACTTTCTTTTTACCCCTTT